GCCAAAAATGTTAGAATTGTGTCGATGTCCCAATATTTACGGACCTGACTGTATAATAAATTAATATTCTGGTTAATAGAATGCAATAATGTGCATACATGCAAACATGCATAAACACGTGTGCAGTATGTGGCTTTTACTGTGTTTTTAAAGCAGCTTTTCTCCTGCCAGGAGAAATGGCATTCAGAGGAGCCGAGCAAACACTCAGTGTGCATAAGGCCTAAAGTATATCCCTAGCTATAGATTTTAGTTCTGGAGAGAAGGGGGAAGGATTAGAATCCCTGTCAGGTTTTTTTTGCAATCTGTTCCTATCTGCACTTCTTTTACAGCTGTCAGTGCAAATGAAGGTTTGAAGAAATCTATCAGTAGGGACACTCTTGGTGACAACTGTCAGAGGAAAATTTTCCTACTTTTTCTTCTCACTTTGTCTTCCAATAACAACAGGTTCAACAAAAAAGAAAAGGGGCAGGCATTTTATCTATTTCCTACTCTATTCAAGGCAAAAAAGGAAGCAGTAACATTTATATTGTAGGTACCCCCAGCCCTGCCCAGACCTCACCTTCCCACTCACCTGTCCTTGATCCAGATAGAGTGTTCTCCATTCAGTTCCATAGAGAATTCATATTCTGCAAGAACATAAAGTACATACCCTCCATAGAGCTAAATGTAGAGTGCACAGCCCGTGGCCTGGGTCAGAAGATGTTTGACAAGCAGCCCTGTGGCTTTGTGGACAATATCTCCCTAGATTGGAGACAGGTGATTGTAAGAAAGATGTCTCTTTGACGGGATGAGGGGGGAGGCAAGGCAGTCTATAATTTAAGTGCAACTGTATCTACATTATTTTTAAGTGCATGTTCACATAATTACCGGTAAATGTCCACCCATTCCCAAGTAGGTCAGCACATTTGAATTCTATTTTATGACTTGGTCATTTAAAAGACATACATATACTCACAAGCTGATGCAGAAAAATAAATCACATGCAAGCTTATGCATTCAAAAATAAAAAAATAAAAGCAACAACTACAAATTCTAATACAAAACTGCACATTAAAATTAAAATACACAAATAATTATGTTATTTACCAAGGTGTTTAATCAGATTTAGTATATCAATAAATATTAAATAATTGCTTGTATCAGGAAGAAAAATTCTGTTTTATCAACTCTATATATTAAAAAAAATAGAATAATTTATAGCTACAATCAAGTAGCTGTCTGTAATTAGGGTAAGGTATGGAAATGGTAATTTTGTCCTTGGTGAAACTAAAATGAAATGCAGAATCTGTAACTATGGTATAAACTTTATTTTCCCTATAACCAGACTGCAGATTGTGATAAAATCTATTGTGTACATCATGTTTAATGTTTATTCTGAGTGAATACTATTGCTAACTAGTTGGAATTGCATTTTATTTAGCAGGAATAGAAATACAAATATAGCATAAAATGTCAGGTTTTCTCACTAATATGTTTTTCTTGTAAATAATTTTATAGACAAATAGGTACATGATAGGGATTTCTAAAAACAATGCGTCCAGAGAAAAGAAAAGTGAATAGAAACAATACTGGAGAAAGGCAGTGATTGGTGAAAGCAGTCATATGATTACTAATATGAACAAAAAGTACACTACACCACAGATGGAATAACAGACATTACGTAAACTCTCAAATTAGAGTTCAAAATATTACATAATAACATAAGCTGTTCATTTTTCCCTTTCAGTCTTACAAAAGAAAATAGCGGCTTATACACACTTATTTCAAAGACACCAGAAGCCAGCCTACAATTTTCTGAGACATTAGCGTATTCCATTTTCTATGTAGGGGAAACCATTATACTGCATCTGTTATGCAAAATCAGGTAATGACTACCATTTTGTAAGGTATGTCCTATGCTTGCAGAGTAGGGTCATCAGCAGATCATCGATTACATTATAAATCATACTTATCACAGCTAATGACACAAGATATGGCTATGTAAGTATATTGTGCACATATATACCCAAAAAATTAATGTAGACCCTAAAGTTTACCTGTGCCCAGGCTATGGGCATTAAAGTGTTTGCATATTTTTAACAAGCAGTAAAAAGAGCTTAGAAACAAGCCATTCCAGACCCATCTAGCTACTTGTATTGTGAACTAATTAATTCTAAAAGATCCTCAAAGAACACAACAAAGTCTATAAAATTGGTTTCAGTTGGTTTTAAACAGCCTAGAACAACTTGCTGGTTGTCTTGATTACAGGGCTGGCAATCTACTAAGATTCTGTTGTATTAAAAAGTAATAAAGAAAGAGCTAATATTTTTGCTCCTCTATTGTGATGTTTGAAGACCAATTTCTTCACAATACCTATAGCTACATAGATGAATGAAGGCTAGTATTAAAGTGTTTTTACGGTTTGTTTAGAATATGTAAATGCTTTAGTTTGGTCAATGGTTCACTTTAAAAGACCAACACTAACAAAACAAAGGTCTCGGATAATAGTTACAGAAACCTATGCAAGCACTTTAGGGGATTTTCAGCACTGAAACAAGCAGTGAATGAAACCTAACACCGGTTCCATACATCACCACTATACTAAAAAAAAGTGTTTTTATTGCTGTCAACATCCCGATTAGGATGAATGAAATTGAGAGTTTTCATTTTCCTGAAAATTTTTCCATTTCCATAACATATATTGCAGTCAATGGCAAAGTTGGTTTTGGTGGTTTAAGGGAGAAATTGATTATTAATGGCTTCTGAGGGTTATGGAAACTCCTTTTAACTAACCTGGAACTGTTCTGGTGCCAGTCTCAGGAAACACCTGCTAAAAATTACTATATCTACAATTCATGATACATAGGTGTTATGGTCAGTGGGAAGAATTCTCTTAAAACTTGTGGACATTGTGAAGAATTATCCCCTTTCAGATAGCTATAAAGATCAATGGTGCCAGTGGGAACATATCCTAGAGGCAGAAACTGCTCATTGCTCAAGGAACCCTAGCAACCTCTGGAGCAACCCTAGGGTTCTGTAGGACCCTGGTTGAGAAACCCTGTACTATACATATTATCATCTAACAAAGATGATGTCAAGCATCTGTGGTAATGAGCCATTGTAAGTAGCCAACTCAGGGTTCCGCAGGGCATGGAGTGTAAGCCCCAGCCTGTTTCGCCGCCAGAGTCCCTGATGGTGGGGATGGGCTTGTAGCAAGCTGGAACCAGGTGGCAGGCCTCCAGGTATGACCAGCTGAGGATGTGGAGATCACTCGCGTGTGCAGGGTGCAGACAGCAGGATACAAGAGGAAATCCAAAAGACAAGCTGAGGTCAGGACGGGTAGCAAACAAGCACAGATGGTAAACGAAGCCTGGTTCGGTACACAGGTAGTCAGGCACAGGATACACAAGTAACAAGCAACTAGGAGCTCAGAGAACTGTGAAGTTGCTCAGTCAATGTAGGCTAGACTAAGCATGTCTTATATAGGCAAGCAAACTAGGAGGAAAGTGAGGAAGTGATGAAAAGGAAGGAAATAAAAAGTAGAGAATAGTAGGCGACACCCAAAGGTAAGCACAACCAAACCACACGTGAAAGGAATCAGGGTAGGAAAAGCACTTCAGCAAGGAGGTAAGAATACACGAGCAAGAAACTGCAGGCTAACTTGTGACAGATGAGAACTATTTCAGCTGCAATTTACAGGCACTCATGTATGTACAGAAACCACAGTCAGTTGGGCAACAGTTTCTTCTAAGCTTGCAATACCAAGAAGCTATAGACTCTTCTTAGTTATCCACTTCCTCTTAGATTGTAAGCTCCAAGGAGCAGGGCCATCCTAACCCTCTTGTATTGAACTGTATTGTTGCTGTATTGTCTCCTTTTATTTTGTAAAGTGCTGAGCAAACTGTTTGCGCTATATAAATCCTGTATAATAATAAAAATAATAATAATAATATAGTAAATGTAAACTGAATGAGTAAAGACGTATGTTCTGGATTCCAGGATGGAATGGAACACAATTCTGTCTCTTTAGTTCTAAAATAGGCAGCAAGGCCTAGTTCATACTACTGTGCTGCATTAGCTCATGTGCCTTAAGGTAAAATGCGCTAAGGCAGCCCTTTTATTTAAATGGACTGCCTAATGCACCAAAAAACATAAAAAGGTACATTTTGTGCAGTGCTGAGCAGATCAATGTACACTAGTGCAACACAAGTTGTTTGAGAAGGTACATTGGAGTACCATTCAGAATAAATGGCACTGTATCACATCAACACATGCAAATTGCATTGCTGTGCAATAGCACAATGCAATATTGTGAATGGGCCTTTAATGGCATGGGTGGAGTGTGCAGCTACAGTAAGATGTAGGAACTGTGGAAGACAAGGATCCCTTAATGTAACTACACAGTACAGTCACAAGAAATCTTGTAGATTTCCATTGGAATACAAAACACAAAAGACAGTTCTGCTGTAAACCAGAATGGATCTAAACACGCAGGTATTACAATGCAGGTTGAGGTTGAAAAAAAAACAAATATGACAAATAAATATAAAACATATGGTCAATAATAATAGCTCAGCATACAATATAGAAAAAATATTTTATTTAATTTTAAATTAAATACACTAAAAAAAAAAATATAAAACATCCCTGCACCTATAACCATAGTGTATCCCAAGCTCACTCAGACTCAACAGAGAGTAGTTAGCACAAACATTTTACATGCACATACATAGTACGCATTATCATTCCGCCAACATTTTATTAATATGATATGATAATGTGCTATCTATAATTATGTGTACATTGTGTTTAGCTCTGTAATCGAGCATTATTGTTCATGTATTATTAGGCTTTTTAATCACAGATTCCCCATTTGGTCAGTTGATGTACTTTGCTATTTTAAGCGCCCTCAAAATTTAGAACGATGAATGTTTTTAACAGGTGATTTGTGTATTCCAGTTTTTGTTTTAATTTGAAAGGACATTTCATTGATTATTATTCTGAGAAAGCACATTACTTACCAGATTCAGGTAAGAGTTTGCCAAGGCGGATGTCCTTTGGCATGAAACCAGGGGGATATCCAGAGCGCCAGCTGACAGTGACGGAGCCATAAGACCCTTCTCTGTAAACAACAGCATGACCCATCCCTGATGTGATATTTGTAAGGCGGAATGCAACTGATTCAAAACCAACCTGAAAGAAGAAAAGATATTTTTAATATTTGCTATTAATGGTCAAAGAATAGTTCAACATATCTGAAAAAGCATACACAGAAACAGGGGCGGACTGACAACTCATGGGGCCCCCGGGCAATAGGGGATCATGGTGCCCCTGTGTCCTTGCCCAAACTCAAAAAAGCCTATGAAAAAGGTACCAGGGGCATCTCATGGGGCCCACTACTGACACCGGGCCCTCAGGCAGTGCCCGAGTTTCCAAATGGTCAGTCCGCCCCTGCACAGAAATTATTCTGAACACTGAAAGCTATCATACACTTGCCTAATAAAGCATTTAAATATAACACAACAGGAATGCTGCTAAGTTCCTCAAATCTGTGAAGAATACCTGGACACTTTACACTGAATGTAGTGCTTGTATAAAAAAAGGCATTGAGACTTTTTCTTGTTCCTCAGTTCCTTGACTATACATTATCCTTCCCTTTTTTAAAAAAAATTATCTCTATTTAGTCTATTTACCTTTTCCTACTCCACTTTTCTCCCATTGGTTTCCTGGCAATTTGCTCTAAGGAAACCCAAGGATAAAAGACGAAAAAAAAACCCATGAACCAAAGCTTAGTAAGTATTGAGGTTCTAAAGCCCTGGTGTACCCTTGCAGTGGATTGTCATGCATTGAGGCGTATTTCAGGCCATTCATTTTGAATGGGCTATGAAATGCAGCAAGGTCCAATGCATGACAGTGCGTACATTTCAGTGGACTGCCTTATGGTGTAATTTGGCCCTAACATAAAATTTGTTCCATTCTGGACATGTCAGGGGCTACACTTGAGGCCCTCTCTAATTACCCACTTGATTACCACTGATCTAGAGGACCATTCTTGGGATACAAGTAACAATTATGGCAAGAAGACCTGGCACACTCAGTAGAGGACATGAGCCACGTGCTCTGGGTGGCAGGGTCTAGCAGTGCCTCTGTAACCAAAGCTTCAAATATATTGCTTTAATAGCTGCTTATTATGTTATACATGGATTGCTGTTTGTTTGCCTTTAAATATTTTTGTCCTTTCCTCACTCCTTAGCTAGCAGATGCTCTATATAGTAAACCCTGCCCTTCATTTTCATGCTTAGCCTCCATTCACCTCATCTACTGTATTGGAGTGGAGCTAGACACACTGTTTTTGGATTAAAGCTTTCTATGATCAGCAGGATGTCAATGGGATAGAGTAACTGTCTGCCAAGCTACTAGACTTTAAGTAACTCGATTAGGTATCGAAATCACACGTTCAGTGCTTAGATTCCTGAAACAGGACACTGCTAATAAAGTTCAAGGCCAATCTGATATAAATTGATATATCAATAAAGAACTTGGTGATGAGACCCCCTACAACAAATAGCAACTAGGCCATAATGTTACTGTCCTCCCTAAGTACAATCCGGTGTTTAGAAATATTATTTAAAGGATAAGTTCACCTTTTGTAACATAGTACATGTTACACCGATATTCAGGGTGTAACATGTAACATGTTCTGATCAGACCGGCCCCCACTCCCTGCTTTGACAGCTAATGAGGGATCTTCTCCCCCCTCGCTAGCTGTCAGCTTTAAAAAAAAAACATGGCCATGCAGGACTCTGCCCACACAGCCGTGTCACTCATTCACAGTCATCTGTGAATGAGAGACTACAAGTCCTGACAGCCTTAGCAGCTGTCAGCTTGTAGTCCTCAATTAACTACCATGGCACTGTGAAGTTCATTAATGCTTCCTGTCAGTATATCTGCTTGCTCGTACACCCCATACAGGCAAGTAGATATACTGACAGATCTTCAGGATACCTGTGTAGCATCAGTGATCTGCTGATCGCTGGTGCAATGGTTTACAGGCTCCTGCAGACAAAAATAATAAATGCATATTTTTTTACCTGCAACAAATTGTGGATTTATTATTTTTTTCTAAAAGGTGAACTTGTCCTTTAAAGTAAAAAAAAAAATACACTAAAAAAGATTTCCTTATGATAGAGAAAAATCTAAACACTTTATTGGTAGGGTGTGGGTTTGCTATTGGAAGAACGCCAATATTATGAAAATAATATTAAAAAAAAATATGTGTGCTGTGCACTTTCAGAATGGTTGAAGTGTTTTTCTTTTCAAGTGGATAAGAAACTACATGATCTTAGGCACACAGGAATAAAACTGCATCACCTAGTGCATGACTGTCAAATAACCAGAAAGAATTAAATTGGAATGATGATTCATATTTTAATTCCCGTTGCATAACAGGGGACATATTTTATCTACAGTTACATTTAGACAGGAACGCTGTGTGAGCTCATACATGCAACTTTTCAGAAATGCTAATTAAAATTACAGGAAAACTTCAAAAGTATCTAAAGAAAAACAGTTAATTTATATAGGAATATATATATAAGAATACAATTCTTTTTTTCATACTGCTAAAATTGAGACATTTATTATCAAGCTTATAGTGACTAATGACACATTCACCACATCCATGTCCTAATCATAATTAAAACTGTAAAGACATTTAACAAAAAACCCTATAGAATACGCACCCTCAAAATGTAAAATATATTTTAATATACAATTCACTGCAAGGATAGTGAAATAAGCATTCACGTGAATGGCTGCTAAAATACAATATTTTATATTTATAATTGTTTATATTTGTTGTTGCTTTTCTATAACTATCCTTTATTAAATAATCATTGACTCAACAATACTGAATTACAAATCCTAGCAATCCATGACTGTAATAAACTTCTGTAAAGTGGATATTTTGATCAAAGCTTTTTGATATTGTAGAGAGTGGGACTTGTTTTCCCTCTGCTGGTCACCATGGAGTAGTGCAGTACATGCTATTACTATACCTCTGAATTGGCAGCTTCCTGAGGTACTGTTACTGAACTTGGCTTTTGTCCTTTATGTATGTAAGGCTTTCCAGAAATGCTTTCACCCATCAAAGTGACATTTGTCAACTCAAGAGAAAAATTAAAGCCGGGTAAGAGGAAGACCTGTGGATACAAAATATAGGAAATCAAGACAGAGCGAATTACACCTTGAGATTAGAAAAGATAAGAACTTTCATAAAATAATTCCAATATAAGAGAAAAGGCAACACTTTCACAGAGGGATAAAAATGCTTACAAGTTTGGTGCCACATGCTGCAAACAGGCATTAGCTGGATTGAAAATATAGACCAACTAATTTGTTTGAGGTGATAATAATCTTTGGTTTGTTTGGGGTGCTACTAAAAATGTTATCTTTAGTTGGAATAAAAAAAAATGGAAATCTCTTAACAGACCACCCAGGCAGTAACACAGAGAAGGAGATATACCAAACCTGGAGGGTGCAAAATCTGGCACATTTCTGCAAAGAAACCAATCAGCTTCTAACTTCAGCTTGTCCCTTTGGGTATTGGCAATAAAACCTGGAAGCTGATTGGTTTCTATGCAGAACTGCATCATATTTTGCACCCTCCAGTTTTAGCAAATAACCCCCTGCACATACCTCACCAATTACAGGCCAAAGCTTCCCTTATTGTGTCCCCCCACCTCTCCCCATCAGTTCTCACTTTATGCAGTATCACTTAAGCAGACGTAACACCCTTTAACAATTTTATGCCTGACGCCAGATTGATATTATTGTATCAAAGTTAGTCAATCAACAAATTGATGTCACAAATCAAAAATAAATGGGGGTCATTATCTAATGTATGATCTGCTCTCCCCCCTCCATTTTACATTTTTTTGTAAAATTTGCCTTGTTTCCTTAACCACTTGCCTCTCCAGAAGATTTACCCCCCTTTCTGACCAGGCCATTTTTTGCAATACGGCGCTAAGTTACTTTAACTGACCATTGCACGGTCATGCAGCGCTGTACATAAATTAAATGTATGTCCTTTTTTCCCACACATTAAGCTTTCTTTTGGTGGTATTTGATCACCTCTGTGTTTTTTGATTTTTGCGCTATAAACAAAAAAAGACCAACAATTTTGAAATAAAAAAAACAATATTTTTCGCTATAAAACATATCCAGTAAGAAATGTTCAAAAATCCAATTTCTTCATAAATTTAGGCCAAAATGTATTCTGCTACGTCTTTGCTACAAAAAAAAATTCCAATACATGTAAATTAATTGGTTTATGTGAAAGTTATAGTGTCTACAAATGGAGGTATACAGTCATGGCCGAAATTGTTGGCACCCTTGATATTTCTCCAGGAAATCATGTATTTTCTCACGAAACGTATTTTTTTGCTATACACATGTTTAATGTATTGGGACAAAACAAAAAAAGGGAGGAAAGAAAGCAAATTCGCATAATGATCAAAAATGGGCTGGACAAAAGTATTGGCACCCTTTCACAACTGCGGATAAATGATGTTACAAGCATGTGACTGTTAAACTCACCTGGGGCAAGTAACAGGTGTGGGCAATATAGAAATCACACCTGAAAGCCAGGAGAGACGTTCATAACCTTTGCATTGTGTGTCTGTCTGTGACACTAATACAGTGACTGTTAGTGCTAATCAAAAAAGCACTGACACTATACTAATGACACTGGGCACGGAAGGAAAATTGATGGATTGCAACATATATGGTGGGGCAATCAAAATGTTCCAAAGTTAACTGTCCTGTGCTGTGCGCGTTTTACATTGTAATGTTTTATTTGGGAGACATGCTGCTACAGTTTGTATCTTTCAGCTGTGCAGAGTGATACAAAGCAGCATGTCAATGCTGAAAATATGGTGGAGGAGAGAGATCTGTGTTGTTTACACACAGATCTCTCGCCCTGTAGGGCCCAGTGTCAGTCCAAGATCCTGCTGATGATCACAGAGTCAAAGGCCAGGAATCGCAATGAGGATCTAAATCCCATTGAACTGGTAATTGACATCCCCAGAGCAGCCAATAGCGGTGCAGAAGCTTATTGATGGGTTAACATCTGTGGTGCAATCAAAGAGTTAAGTGTTTGTGCTGTTGCTGGTTTTTTACATTATGATCTGTGTGTGTTAATTTTACTAGATTTTCAGGAAACATGCTGCTTTGTATTTTTTCTACTGCTGTGCAGACTGTGACAGAAATACTGACAAAGCAGTGATTATGTCCTTGCCGGCAGGAGAGAGATCTGCGTTGTTTACAACACAGGTCTCTCCCGTCAGGGAAACATGCTGCTTTGTATTTCTCTGCTGTGCAGAGAAATACAAAGCAGTATGTCCTTGCCGGCAGAGAGAATTCTGCTTTACCCGACGATCGCCAGGTGCTGGGGGGAATCTCCAGCTGGGACTTAGTGATTGATATCCCTAGCTGCCAATGGTGGCGCTGGTAGGGCGGCATGTGCACGTACCCCCTATCCGGAAATCAGGCCTGGACTGGCCATAGGGCACACCGGGAATTTAGAAGAGTGGTTGTGTTTATGACGCGCCGCACAGCAGGAGGTAAGTGGCGACCGGGGCCTGGAAAGAGCTAACACAGACCGCGGCCGCCGCTCACCTCCTGCTGTGCGGCTATGCCTAAAGCAGGGCCGACAGGAGGAGCGGAAGTGATGGCTCCAGTGAAGAGCAGGAAGCAGCCCCTGAGGACACGCAGACACCTCCTCGGCTGGCTGCTAAACACAGCTGCACTGTAGGGACAACGGCAGCCTCTCTCTCCTTCACTGGTGGGCACACTGTGACAGGCCTGCAGCGGCTGTGGATTGGGCTGTCTCTTTGCTGGGTGAGCTGTCTCTTTGCTGGATGGGCTGTCTTTTTGCTGGATGAGCTGTCTCTTTTGGGGCTGTTCTTTGGACGGGCTGTCTCTTTGCTGGATGGGCTGTCTCTTTCCTGGTTGAGCTGTCTCTTTGCTGGACAGCTGTCTCTTTGTTGGTCAGGCTTCTCCTTGCTGGGTGGGCTGTCTCTTTGCTGGATGGGGATGTCTCTTTGCTGGACTGGGCTATCTCTTTGCTCAGTTGGGTCCAGCAAAGAGACATCCCAATCCAGCAAAGAGACAACCCAGTCCAAGAAGGGGCATCCCCATCCAGCAAAGAGACATTCCTGTCCAGCAAAGAGACATCCCATCTCTTTGTGGATTGAGATGTCTCTTTGCTGTATGGTGATGTCTCTTTGCTGGATGGGGTTGTCTCTTATGTCTCCTTGCTGAATGGGGATGTCTCTTTACTCTATTGGGCCATCTCTTTGAATATATAGGGGCCACTGTGATTAGATTTCTAGGGGCACTGTGATATAAAGGGGACTGCGTTGTAAAGGGGCACTGTAATCAATCAATATATTCCATCACCAACTGCCCCCGCTAATGCCCTTGCACCACCCCCCCCCTCCCGAAATTTGCTGTTCCGTCTAAAATGCCTGGGCCTAATTTTTGTCCCAGTCCGGGCCTGCCGGAAATGCGTGATTTTGTGCAGCCCTGTCTCCCTGTAGCAGTAGTTCTATTATAGGGCGGTAGGAAAGCGGTTAAAAGCTTGTTAAATGATGGGACAGTAGTTTCTGGCAAAGATTCATGTCTCCTGAAACACAAGGCCAAACTCTCATAAAACAGGGAGGGAAATTCACTAAATATGTGGTAGACAATAACAACTAATAAGATTTATTTTTTTAGTTGGAGATATTTATTTGAATGGTTGCTGACAGAATTGCTTCAGCTTTTGCAACTCAGCCCAGGTATTTTTTATCCTCTGCTGACTTCTGACTTGCCATTGCTGGTTGTCGTACAGAAACTAACAGTATGCAAAACTAGAGGGGATTACTAGAAGTTTGACTATTGTATACTGTATGTCATATTCATTTGTAAACCCCAAGTTAAATGAGCTGAAATGTAATCTGTGCACCGCCCCCTTCACAAAATAGCAGACAGGTGGCACTTACTGTAGGCCAGCTAAGCTAAAGCACATCTGTAAACTACAGTGGAAACCTCATTGGCCAAAGTTCAAAACTGATGTCAAATGGTTTAAAAGTTTTGCTGCAAAAAACAGATTTTCCCAATAGGTGGTGCTGCAGGTAACAGATATAAGTGCAGCTTTTGGTTCCCGTAAAACTCTGAAAGGTGATGTTGTTCTGGTCAGAGAAGGGAAAACAGAGTTTCTAAACAGATAAATCAAAACCATTAAAATGTCTGTAGACCCAGAAGCAAAAACATTTACATACTGCAGCCTATTAATTCTAATAATTTGAATTACATACATTTTCTTCCCATTATTTTCAGTTAGTGATCCAGCCAGTAATCCAGTAATTTTTCAACTTCCTATAAAAGATCAAGCTGTCCTGCAAAAGTGACAGTTTGCGGATTGAAGCGGGCCATTTACCACTGACATGGGAGCTTACAATGGTCAGCTTTTGTTTAGAAAAAAAGAAGCAAATACCTCTTCACAAATAGTCTGATGTCTGCGACATGCCTCATCTGTGACAGCATTTTCTCCCTGGATTTTGCTGAATGCAGGATCTTTGGCCATTTTGACTGGTCATTGCAGAAAGATATAACTCATTCATCCTTGCAAACATGCACCATGCTGAAAATGTACTCTGAGATGAGCATGCACAGCTCAGTGTACAGAGTAAACAAGACTGTGAACAGTCAGTTTATTTTATCACAGAAGAGACACATCATGTCTCTTCTCCTATATGTAGCCTGCCTACTCACAGTTTGTTGTTTTGTACTTTAAAAAGTGTTAGCTGGAGTTTGCCTTTAATTTGTTAGTCCATTTAAAGTGTTACTAAACCCAGGACCCTGCATTCACTGAATCCAGTCTCCCACAGAACACAGAACATGGAAATGCAATTATTTTAGTAAATAAATACCTCATCAGTGTATACAGCAGTCTTGTGACTTCTATCAGTGCTCAGCAGAGCACTGGCTAAAGCTTGTAGGAGGAACTGTATATTGTCCTTTGAGGATGCATAACTCCCAACCCTGTGTCTGGACAGTGCTGATCGGCCCTGTGCTGATCACATGCACTCTCCCAAGAAAAAAAAAGTTTTTTAGCAATACACACCAAACTGAGCATGTACAGAGTGCCCCCAAGGCTCTATCAGCTCTATCAGCAGATGGATTGCGGACATTAGAAGAAGGGGAGGGTCAGAGACGACAGGATTAAACATCCTTTTTACACAATGCAGAATAAAAACCCCTTAGGGTCCACAGTGAGTATAACAAGCATGCTTTACTGCATATACAGACTGAATTTACTGTTGTGGGTTTAGTCACACTTTAAATTTGCTAGTGCATCTAACATTACCCTTTCCACAGATTAATTCTGCTGTCCAAAGGTATAGAGTGGAGCCACCCTTACGCAGGAAGCACAAAGGGCTGATAAACCCATATCCCCTTTTCTGGAGATCTGTCTGGAACAATGAGTCTGCCAGCTGAAACATTACAGTGAACATCATTTTAGTGGGATGACCCTGGTCATCACCAGTGCCACACAACATTTTGATATCAGCAAGCAAAGCTGCATTCTAATGTGATATTTAGTGAAATGGTAGACAGATCCACTTTATGGATTGGTGACCTGCAATAAATTACATTTTTGTTTTTGAGTTTGTATTTGGCTTGAGTAAACTGCACCCCTATAAGGAAATAAATGCCTTTCACAGACCAAGACTTGTAGCCCTTGTTTACCTAATAGCTGCAGATTACAAGGATCTGATGAAAACTGACCTGGTTACTGATTGGCACATTGCTAATACCATAGCTTGCACCATCTTGAATAAACACACTTCCGGTAATTATTCCGGTCAGATTTTCTCGTGCTGTGTTTTCATACGATACTTGGTACTCCACGGTGACATTGCCAAATGTTCCTCCAAGCCTTGTCACATTAGTTTGGATGAAGCGTTCCAAGTCATTGTTTACAATGACAGTCTGTCTTGCTGGGTCCAAATAGAACACACCGTGAGGGTCATCATTTGCCAGGACAGTGAACCACAACACACTTCTCACACTATCTAAATCAGCTCCCCCTTCTACTGAGGTTAGTTGGAGCATACAATGCTCATCTATTTCTGGCACATCATCCGGTAAAAGCTGAATTACAATCTCTGCAATATTTTGTTTATCAGGAATGACAACCCAACCAGAAGTAGCTGAGAAGTCACTGTTAATGTCTGATAAACTGGTCAATCTCCAATAGACCTTGAAAGAGAGAAAAAAACTTTAGTTAATTCATATCCAATGAGAAGTTTTATTAAGATCTGTCTCGGTAAACATTTTTCTACAAATTGACAACACAGATTGAGATGCACACTGTTTTAAATGTACATTTAAAGTGAACCTTGCAAGCTATGATAGGTAAATGTATAAGTTCTTACAATTATTTTCAAATCTGTTCCTCAAGAAAACCATGGATTTAGACCTCGTTAGAGATTAGGGCATGCCACCTCCTGACACTAAGCCTCATATCCTGCTTCACAGTCCAACCTCAGACCCTCAGCCACCAGTAGAGCCCTTGGCATTTGATAGCTGAAATACAGGGGATGGGGTTTAGTGTCAGGAGGGGAGAGCTTATTCTTTACTTTGAGAAAAGTTGAGGCCTATGTACAGCCTTTAGCCTACAACCCATGGACATGGTATTGGAACAGGAGGCCAGGAAAAACTACTGGTTGTGTCTAGGATGGGAGGTATATTTGTCCCGGGTTCAATCAGTATGTAAACTGTTCTTCTTTTTTGCTGTATAGTGAACATACTTGGCTCGCTGAGGGGTTCAGCTAAAGCAGGTCTGAGTACTCTAGGCTATATAAAACTCTCAGTTTGCACCCCCTGGAACCGAGTCTCTGTGCATAACAGCCTGGGGAGCTGCAAACTCCCTGTGTGGTGAGATTAGGTCTGTGTGACTAAAAACTGTGGATTGCCTGGGCAGTATTAAATTGCTGCATGACAGTTAGCCAGGATCCAATGTTTTGAGTAGGTCGCCCAATGGGGCAAGGCTTTATTTTCTGTTTTTGTTTTATTTTGCTGTTTGTTGCCTGTACAAGTGAAACAGACACAGACTATTTAAATAAACCGCACTTGTGTTTCCTCCTGCTGTCTGCTGTGCCTTTTTTAACAGTGCTGTGGACTCATCCAGGGAGTCATGCACAACCCACTACTGTGCTAATTCCTCACAGTAGGTGCACAGGGACTAAGTAGGAGATCAGGATGGAACCCACATGGTATCTGGAGATATATCGGGAACATTTATAAAGAAGGGATGTACTAAATTTTGTATGCCAATATGGGACCCTGTATGCCAGACACTTTCTAGTACATTTATAAAGGATTGACCTCATCCTTAAAATTGTCAGGTGACCATACCTGTTGAACAAGCACAAACATGCCAAACTTAGAGGAAGAGGGAGTTTCTGCGTTACGTAGTTTTTGTTTACTGCTGTCATAGTGCCATACTAATTATCTAAATTTTCTATTCTCAAAATCCACGCATGCTTCGTTATTAACGTATATTACAATTACCGTGATATCACCTAGAGTTCCTTGCACTCTCCTGATAAGAAAAGTTATATTCAACGGTCCATCATTGGTTTGAGGTTCAGTGTAATTTTTCTTTAGCAGAGATTCTGCTGAAAACTGAACAATTCCATTGGGATCACCAAATTTCTGTATCTAGAATATAAAAGTCCAAAGATTGCCGTTAATACAGTATATGCTTAAGAGATGTTTTAGAAGACATGTCTGGTTTCCCTGGTTAGCCAGGTGATTTTAAAATATACACCAGGATACCAAACAAATACATGTAACATATATTCTGTGAAACCTATTCTATGTGAGAGGAGAGATCACTATACTATTTCTGCTGCTAAACTAACACCACACTGTGATCTGCATTTTGAGGCTTACCTAATGGAGTTCTCTTTGTCTAAGGCTCCTTTCACATGGGGCGGACCCATCAGCGGATTCGCCTGCTCAGTCGGGGATCTCCCTGCTGATTCTTGCAGAGCAGGAGAATGACAGGTTTATGTCCACTCCGCTGCTGCAGAGCGGACACAGACATAGCCCGCTGTTTTCTATGGTCAGATGGAAATGGACCGTCTGTCCCATTTCCACCTGACTGTCATCCAACCCGATCCACCGGATGGAGAGAAAAAGCTCCAGTTAATTCATATCCAATGCAATGTTTTACAAAGATCTGTCTTGGTAAACATTTCTCTACAAACTGATAACACAGATTGAGATGCACACTTTTTGAAATGTATGTTTAAAGTGAACCTTGCAAGCTATGATAGGTAAATGTGTTCTTGCAATTGTTTTCAAATCTGTTCCTCAAGAAAACCTCAAGAAAACTAACGCACACTGTGATCTGCACTTTGAGGCTTACGTAACGGAGTTCTCTTTGTCTAAGGCCCCTTTCAGATGGGTCCTCCTGCTCAGATGGGGGATCTCTTTGCTGATCCCTGCAGAGCAAGAGAATGACAGGTCTGTTTCCACTCCACTGCTGCAGAGCGGACACAGACATAGCCTGCTGTTTTCTATGGGGCAGTCAGATGGAAACGGACCACCTGTCCGTTTCCACCTGACTGTCATCCAATCTGATCTGCCGCATGGATGGAGAACAGATCCCTATCTGTCAGTTTTTAGCGTACAGGATCAGATTTGATACCAGCAGGTGTCAGTAGACACATGTCTGCTGACACCCATCACTTCATTGTCTGATCGGGTCCACCTGAAAAATTGACAGGTGGACCCGATCGGACCGTCAGTGTGAAAGGGGCCTAACGCAGCAAACACCTCACCTCCCTCTATAATTGGAAACACGTCTGGCAGGTCACAAGACCGGCTCTCTTACCTCTTTTTATATATATATTTATGTAGCACCCTCCTAGGTAGCTAGAGTGAGCTCTAGCTCAAATTGCTAGTCAGGAGTCTGCCTGGGTGTGATAGCCAGGTGGGTCAAATTTAGGTCAGAGCTGAGAGGCTCTGTAGACCAGCTCTCTGGGATTTTCCCCTGCCCTAGAAGTTGAGAAATATCTACAAGCAGTGGGCGAAGTAAGTAGTGGCTGGTCTGTACTCTTAGAGGATCCTGGCCAATCCCCAACAGGAGGCTTCGCAAGGGGAAAGGACAGCCTTTAAGAATAACTGAGCCTGCTCAGCAGCAGGAGGGTTGGAGAAGAATTCGGGTAGAAGATGAGGAAGTGAGGCTGAGGAGCAGGAGCCTGGGAGGTGGCCCATATGGGAGAGGGGCTCACCTCCAGGCAGGCATCTTGGAAGAAGAAAAGCTTGGGGTTTCACCAGCCCCCTGAGAGAAGACCACCTGTGCGGCAGGGAATGAGAAGCCCAGCTAGAAGGCCTGGTAGAAGCCACCAACCCACCAGCAACGGAGGAAAAGGACTAAGTGAGTAAACCTGCACCCCCTGGGCCAGATAGGTAAAGGAGCACTCTGCTGGGAAATCAGATTAGCGACTACCTGGGACTGTCTTACTTTAAAGTGACAGGCACTGGATCCCCTGCTCAGGGATTCACCCAGATTGGGTGGAATAGGAGAATCTAGGGTCTGGGGTGATACCAGGGATGGACTGACAACTCATGGGGCCACCGGACAATAGGGGATCATGGGGCCCCTGTGTCCTTGCCCAAACTCAAAAAAGCCTATGAAAAAGGTACCAGGGGCATCTCATGGGGCCCCCTACTGACCCCCGGGCCCCCGGGCAGTGCCCGAGTTTCCAAATGGTCAGTCCGCCCCTGGGTGATACAACCAGAGATGCTGGCTAGCTCTCCAAAAAGAGGACTTTGCTATATAAACATGTATATAGTTCCAGGAAATTGTTCTCGGTTTCACAGTTCCAAGAAGCATCCTGTAAACCCCTAACCCTATCCCAGTTTAAATCTCATTATAATACTTCAAAACAAAGCTCAAGGACTTTTTACTGACTCCTGGATGCAAGTTATTGTGCAAATGTGTGTTGCCTGGCTGTGCAGGACTATAGGGGGACCCAAAACTTCAGCAAAGTCTAAGAGGGTAGTGCTACATTTATTTAAATACTCTTAAAGGATTAGTTCTCCATTACCAATTACTCTCTATGCAGATAAAGGGAGCCTGTAGATAAAAACTAAAGTTGAATAATGCCCTTGCGGGGGTGGCCATTTACATACCTCATGAAGCCTGACTGGAAAACTTCCAGGATGTTGCTAAGAGAATCCCGGGTGTTACTGTTCACCTTCACCATCACAGGAGCAAACTCTCAAATGCTGAGCTCAGAGCTACTGCATCAGAGAAGTGAAAGTGCATGTGAGGGGGTTTGAATCAGAAAAAGATGCTTCTGTGATGATGAAGGTAAACAATAACACCTGGGCCCTTCTTGACAACATCCTAGGAGTTTTCCAGTCAGGCTTCATGAGGTATGTAAATGAGAGAGCGAATCGGCGTCTTGGAGAGTTGGGATTTGAAGGGGCAATCAATTAGAGGAGCGGATTACCTCCCGATCGATAACAATGGGGCAGTTGTTTACTAAACTCATGAGCATCTTCGGTAACAAAGAGGGCATATGCATATGAAAAAAAAGCAGGGCAGAAGTAGCAGGAGAGTAAGATCTCAGTAGGGATAGGAGACGGGGAGCCGGCAGAGAAGGATCCACCATTCCTAATATGGTGCAACACACATCACTATAGTTCCTTTAAAGTGAACAAAAGCGCTATTAGCCTATCATAGGCTATCTTGGAGGTGAGCGTACATCCTAATCTCACTAAGGAAGTCACCTGGAATTATTTATTAATTTGAATCACTGGGAATTGTCACGATTTTTTCAAAGAGACTTATTATCCGCATATGTTGAGCACTGGATGTCACTTTTCATCTATTTTTTCACTATTTATTCACAGAGATTTATCATTTGTATATGTTTATTACTGGATTTCACAATTTATTTTTTTATTTTTTGATCATATTTATTTTATTTTATTTTTGACCACATTTGCTTGTAATTGTTTTTCATTACAGTTTATTGGAAATATGAAATATTACTTTATTTAATGAAAACTTTTTTAGATTGTTTCACTAAGAGGAGGAGCGCGGCATAAATTTATATATTTTATAGGAATTTATTACACATATAAAGAGGATGTGTTGTATGTCAGCACAACTTTATTAATTGTAGTAGGTGGCTCGCAAGTTATACTCTTGTTTTTTATATGTAAATAGGCTACACCTATAGGAAGGGCATTATTCAATTTTGGGCAAAGCTGCACAGCTTGTTTTTATACACAGATGTTGCTTATCTGCATAGGAAGTTGAAGGTGAACTATGCCTTTAAATTCACAAAAATAGCACTTCCCTGGTTTCATTTTCCTAAAGCCAGCACAGCCCTATGCACATTTGTAAAACACATTGCCATGCTTTAAAAATGTGCGATATAGTTACATAGTTACATAGTTAGTCTGGCTGAAAAAAGACAAAAGTCCATCCAGTTCAACCATTAATCTTATATTTTACAGCAGAGTTATGGCCACATAGCTGCTTTATAATTGGACCCCTATGTTTCCTATTTCTTGCTTTCCATCCTGACCTTGTTAATCTGGCCTCATCTGTCCATGATAATGAATAGTGTTCACCTAATTGCCTCATCTAATGCCTTCCTGCACACATCTGTTCTCAGTCTAGCATCTTCTACGTGCAGATGAAAAGCACCTTTTAAATCCACTGGAGTTTACCTTGCTTGTCATGTTTCTATCCATTATACATGGAAAAAGATTTAAAACAAAAAAAAAATAGGATACATTTCACATAACAGGCATGACATAATATTATAATTATTATTATTATACAGGATTTATATAGTGCCATCAGTTTGCTCAGCGCTTTACAAAATATAAAGGGAGACAATACAGCTCAATACAAGAGGGTTAGGAGGGCCCTGCTCCTTGGAGCTTACAATCTAAGAGGAAGGGGCTGGTGGTACAAAAGGTAATAAATGTGGGGGATGGACTGGTAGGAGGAATAGAAGATTTGGTTATTAGCTGAAGGCAGGATAGGCTTCCCTGAAGAGATAGGTTTTCAGAGATCGCCTAAACGTGGGCAGAGTAGGCAATAGTCTGATAGATTGAGGTAGAGAGTTCCAGAGGATGGGGGAGGCTCTGGAGAAGTTGTGGAGAAGAGCATGGGAGGAGGAGACAAGGAAGATAGAGAGCCAGAGGTCATGGGAGGAGCGGAGAGTACGGTTTGGGTGATATTTGGAGACCAGATTGGTGATGTAATTTGGGGCAGAGTTATAAATGGTTTTATATGTGATTGTTATATATTTTGAATTTTATCCGTTGGGCAATGGGAAGCCAGTGGAGGGCTTGGCAGAGAAGGGTGGCAGATATAGAATAGTTAGTAAGGTGGATGAGTCTGGCAGCAGCATTCATGATAGACTGAAAAGGTGATAGCCTGTGATAAGGTAGGTCAATGAGGAGGGAGCTATAATAGTCAAAGCGAGATATAACCAGGGAGTGAATAAGTTGCTTAGTAGTGTCAGTGGTTAAGAACGGGTGTATCTTGGAGATGTTGCAGAGGTGAAGTCTACAAGATTTTGGCAGTGATTGGATTTAGGGCTGAAAGGACAGATGGGAGTCTAGGATTACACCTAGTACCCTGGCATAAGGGGAGGGACTGATGGTTGTGTTGTTGATCT